AATAAATATTAAAAACTTCATAAAATGTTTTTATCTGAATAATCATTAATCAAATAGTTTACTGAACTACAATGTTTTATTTTAAAAATAAATTGAATGAACAATAAGAAACCAAACATGTATTTGTAAATGAGAAATGTAAAAAGAAATTTCTACTTCGTAAGCAATTTGTTAATTCTCATCTATATTGGAACAATGATTTATTCTATCATTAGTGTTTTTTAGATTTATTCATAATTAGTTTTTTCTGAAGGAGTGCCCAGTATAGTTTTGTGTTTTAAGGCCTACTGTATCTAAATCCGCCCATCGGCAAATTTAATAATTACATTTGTAATTAATAATTACATTATAGAACTTATAAAAGGAATGATATATTTAGCCTTTGAAAGTTTTAGTATTTTAATAGAAACCCCTTTTCTTTGCAGCACTATATTTTATCTAATTGTTTGCATTTTCTGAATAGTAGTAATGCATTTTCAGTGGGTCTCATGTCTTATTTTCAAAACATTTTAACTTCTTTTCATTTTGAGTGAAACGTCAAGACGAACAAAAAAAGACTATGCCATTTGGAAATCTCGTTTGAAAGTTTTATGTCTAACGATGTTATAATTTTATTAATGAAGGTCTCAAAAATGCAGCTTTCAGAATTATTTGATGCAGTACTTTAATTTTATCAGTTTTAGTGTGATATGCACTTTACACAATAATCTGGATCTAAATTAATATCATAACATGATATAAAATTATACTGAAAACCAGCTAATAGTTTCTATGAATTATATAATCGCACAGCTGGAAATAATATGGCACATTTTAATTGCTAAAATTTCAATCAAAACTATCAAAACTTTAAAAATTGATCATGCAGTTTAATTAACTAAGCAAAAGTAAAATAGGGGAAAAACAGAAATGTATATTGCGATATGAAGGACAATAAGGAGCCGTAGGAATGAATGATAATGATTTCTGTCAAGTTAAATATAAAGCTTTATACAATGTTGGAGAGAACCACACTGTTGACCTTGTTGTCAAGCAATTGAATAATCTAAGGTTTGCCCTACCATTAGTTCAGGTAATTCAAGTATTCAAAATTAGAGAGAAACAAACATTGAAAAAATATTTGAAAACTTTCTTGGTCACTGTTCTCGTGATATACCAATTACGTCACTGTTCTCGGGGGAATAATTTCGTTATCTCCCAAATTCCGTTTTGGAAGTAAACCTTCTGCCAATTCGCTCAGATTGTGATATTTACCGTGTGTCGACCAGGCAATAAACAGTATTCAAAGTGATTAAAACGACTAAACTTTTAAGCGGGAACCCTGAGCAGGCGTTGGCCAGTTCACTAAACCAACGGCGTTGCCCAGTTTACTAAAGAATTTTCACCCCCACTTAAACATGGAAATTTTTGCCATGGACCGCCATTTAGCGATCACTCTACAAAATTATATAGATATGTGTCTTTAATGGTACTTTTTATGATTTTGCTCGCACCAATTCTGCAATAGTGTTTTTTTATGTTCAGTCGTGTGCTTAAATTTTTCATTCCGTAGCCACGCAATCTCTTGGTACTAGTTAAGAAATTAGGCAACTGTAGCTCTTTATATGGTATTAAAATACTTTTGTTTTACATCTATGAGAAGAAATCAACCAGATAATTAAATAAAACTCTGCATAAAAGTCCCTATTTTGTTTATGTATACACTGGCTGTAGATAATGGCATTTTATTAAAACCCGCCCCCTAATAATAACCAATATAGTACATTAAATATACGAGTATTAATATATAACATATTATGTGGTTATAAACTTTATGAATAATGAGAAGAGAAATTGTACAAGATGATGAAGGGGATGATGATGACGAAGAGATGATGCCGATGACGAAGAGATGATGCCGAAGTCGAAGAGATGATGCCGATGTCGAAGAGATGATGCCGATGTCGAAGAGACGATGCCGATGACGAGGAAGAGACGATGCCGATGACGAGGAAGAGACGATGCCGATGACGAGGAAGGGACGATGCCGATCAGTGACGGATCCAGGAGAGGGGCATGCCCCCCTAGACCTAGTTTTCGTTTCTTACCTTTTATTTAGCAAAATTGATTTAAATATTTATGTTAAAATTAAGTTATTATTTTTTCAATATTGTGTAGTATCATATATACACTGTAAAAATAATATACAATACAATAATTGTTTATTATTTAACAAAAACCCATCCCCTTCAAAAAGATCGACTGGAACCGTCTCTGACACAGATGACTGTGAAGACGGAGATGACAGATCATGATAACCTGCTATTGTAACTGCAGTAACCGATTCAACAGCTGTGCCAGGCTCTGGTTGCCTTAGTCATTGCCGACCTGAGCGCCGTATTCTGATTGGTTCCAGATCCCTTTATTTCAATACCGTTACTGTACCGGTTTTTTGGCTCTTCAGTATGCATGTTGTGTGTCTATGGATATTCACACACACAACCACAGAGTAGATTTCAGGCTTGATGTCTATTACAAAAGTGTTTTAGTAATTTTATCTTTAAGGAATATTTTTCACAATTGTTTCATCTGTAAAAAGTAATTTTTGACATCACATTATCATGTTAATTAAATAAAATAAGTTCAAAATATACTTTAATTCAAAAGATACATTCTCATAGTAATTGTTGAGTTTCAGTTGAAAATCACTAGCTAATCAGGTAGCAGTAATTATATGCATACAATCACTTTTAGTGAACGTTAATATTTTTAACACTAAATACAATTAATAATTTCAGTTGTCATAGACATCTGATAATGACTTACCTTTATTTTTGAATTTTAATATATGCATACCTTGTTTTGCCTCTCTTAGCCGTTTTCAAGCTGCATGGATTCTGTTCTACAAACACAGGTTTGTAAAACACCCTCCCTTAGATCCTATTCCCCACCAGTAGATTTACTTAGCATTATTTGATGAAAGTATACCTTATTTTGCAGCAATCTTCGTCGTTTGGTTCACGTTCTCTTATTACGTCCATCACCTGGCGAATGGGTCTCTCGATGCGTCAGGTTCACTTTTTTTCCTGATTTATGTTGTTGTTTTTTTTTTTGCATTGTTTTGTTTTTCTTGCATTGTTTTGTTTTTCTTGCATTTTATTGATTCTTTACATCCAATTAGTGCATGATTGATAAAAAATAATATTTTTATATTCTGGTATAGTGTAATTCATTTCATATCAACATTTTCCACAAAAGTCCCACTAACTGCACGAATTAACCCTCCTTCACTAGGTTATTTTCTTGAAATGTGTAGAAGGGGTTTGCCCCTTGTGTATTGTAGATGTTTTGGTAATTTTATAATCACATTCTTTAGCAGATTTTTGTAATATAGCACAATTAATAATTTAGTAATGAAACCTTTACTTGTTATGTATGTCTAAAAGCAAGGACTTGAAATTATGTAGGTACAGATGTATTTCGTTTATATCATGGCTTGATGAGAGATTATTGAAGATAAGTAGAAAGTGTTTAAGGATTGTTTCACTGTGCCTGCTTAATTTTGACCGAATGTAGTGTTAATAATATTATCAGTCTGTGCATCAGCATGTCATTATAAATTGTTATTTCATTTGTATGATTGAAATGTGCATTTGTTCCAAATGTCATGCAGTTAATAGAATGGGTTGCAAATAATGTTTGTTCAATGAAAGGAACATCAATTGAAATTTCCCAGAGTACTTGTATAGTATTATTTCTTTTCAAAACATTCCAGGAAATAATTTTATTTATGAAATAAGGAAATTTCTTTGGTGTTTTATTAGGATAGCTTTTGCTCATTGTGTTACAGCACCATCACGCTCTATTACATTGTTTTTTGTTAGTGTGTTCAATTTAAATCGTAAGTAATATCCTGTAAAATATGCTTAAATATTATTTTAATCTCGTATTAAAAAATTAATAATACAATTCCCTAAAGAGCGAAACATTTTTGTTGCAATTATTGGCAGCTTAGCTCTATTCTCAGAGAAAATTATTAGTACATCATGAACCCTTTGGTAAAGAAACTATTAAATATAGCAAAATTTAAATGATTTATCAAATTATATAGTGGAAAAAAAGTTTCATAAAATGAAAAGCAAAGAGAAAAATAAAGTGTTGATCTCTGTTGCAGACATCTCAAGCAATTAGGACTGTTTCCTACAGATACAACTACTTGGTGGAAAGCAGGACTTGGCATTGCAGCGGCGACAGTAGTTGGTTTTCTAGTCGTAAAAGTTTTAAAGGCTGATAAGAGGTAGTTGTCAGCAAAATGTACCTGTTCCCACTTTCACTACAGACTTACGTTGACCAGGAATTCAACCTGTTAGATATAATCTGACAGTGGATAGGGATCTTTCCTGATACACTTGGGTGTATTTAGATTGTATAGAGCAAACTTTGTAGTGAGAGTGGCATTGTGTTCAAACCAGTTATTTAAAGAAACCTTTATTGTAGTCATCAGTTTTGTACCACATATTTGTATTATACCAATTGCTCTTAAAAAAGTATTACAAGTTACAAAGTACTATTGGCAAGATGTAGTATAGATCTTTTTACATTATTGGCGTAAGTATTCAATAGGAAGACTGGAAGATACTGGAGACACTGCAGTTTTTGCATTTAATGTAGTAGAGTCTAAAAGATTTCATAATAAGGATATATTTCATTTTAGAAAACTAACAGTTTTCTTTCATGCCTGTGCGCTGACTTCGTTTTCAGAATTTAAAAATATCAAAAAAATAATGTGTCTTTAAATATCAAGAGAATGAAAGTTTGAAGAAAAGCTTATTCAAAAAGTTTACATTGTTTTAAGAATTTTGTCATGGAGTCAGCTATCACAGAGCTTCTTACTGAAGCAGCAACAGTTATGTGGAAAATTTCAGTACATAACAATTTTTGGTATTTGATGAACAAGCATTTTCAGAGATTTAGCACATACTTTTTGGCATTGGGTTATTTATCATCTAAAAGTTTTTGTTCAAATCGAAAATATTGTTTGACGTTGCACTTCAAAAATACTGAAGTTAATTAAGTTTTATATTCGATTTGGTGTTAATGTATGATTGGTATATTTTAAACATGGCTGTGCAAAAATAAAATTAAGAGGGTCAGTCCCTTAACGTAGAATATGTATTTGTGAAGAGTTAATTATCAAATAATCAGCTATTCTTCAATTCAAATTCATGAAATAAAATGAATATGAAATTTACTGACTAAAAGTTTTTTTAATGTTACATGCTTTTCCATTTACCAGCTCCAATCAGAAAAGTGAATGAAATATTTTGATGTATTCATAAATTTTTCCCAGAGAAGACTGAATTAATCAATTTTAAGTTCAATAAATGGTGCATGCATTATTGAAAATATAGTTGCAAATTCTCACATGGAAATTTTAGTTTCTTCATTAGCTTCAGTTGTATTTGTTTACCATTTGAATACTTGTTGATGTTTTGTTACATGATTTTATTCTAGATTTGCTTCTTTCTTTTAAAACAACCCTGTGATTGCTGTACTGTTTACTTTTTTGTAAATGTTGATAATTCATTGAGCAATATTTCTCTGTACTAGAGTATTCTATATCCTATAATTTGAGCTGGTCTGTCTCTGTGTATATAAAAATGATTAAAATTGTACAATTTATTATGCAATAAATCAAAATTAAAAGACAACCATTGCATTATATTGAATTATGTAAACCTTTGTGTAATGAACCAAAGAAGCTTCATTACCAATTAATACATAAAAAAAAAAATCATAAAGAATAAGTTAAAAAGAATTCAACATTAAGGTGATATATTTACAGAAATTCCTCTTTTTTTAAGAGGATTCATCTGCTGTATTAATTTCTTTTGAATATATCCTAATATCAATGTAATAATACTAACACAATCAAGAATTTTCTTCACGTGTCTCATGATCTAGCAAATAATGTTTGATGAGACAATCCCAAATTTGTCAGAAAAGGAAACGGTTTTAGACAATTTTCAAATAGACACAAATTGTCAACTGCTGAAGTGAGCACCATGTAACACTATTTCAATTTCACTTTGCACTATGAATATAACAATATAAACATTTCCATCTTCTAGGTTTTATTTACACAAATTAGTGTCTTCAATACAAGTTGTATTGTTGTACTAGTACCTATTGTATTTGCAATTCTCAACATCAGAATCAATCGAGTATCAATCAAAAAAGTACCATATATAATTTCATAAAATATTTAAACAGAAAAATTAGATCTGTTAGTCACCAATACTAGAAAAATGAGCTTCAATATTCCATGTTAACCCCAACTTATCACTGTCATTTTTGAAACGTATTCGTAACTTTCTTTTAAAATTATTACAATTGAAAAATTTTGACAAATTTAGCAAAAGTATAAATAAGAATCATCTTTCTGAGTAGATATTTGTATCAACATTTGTTTTACCATTTTAAATACATCTCTGAGAGTGTCTTCCACAAATACACTTCTGTATTTTTACCAATTTATTATCACGCTACATTTGCTTACTTTTTCTCAATTAGTTAAAGTAATAACTATGTTTTTAAAGATGAGTAGTAATGCACCCTCATTGCTGACATCAGAAGTGGAAATACTAGCTTCCTGTAAACATGAGTGATAAAAAGTTCTGTAATGCAACAATTGATGGCAGTGTCACAACAATATTTTTAATTTTCTTTGTCTTATATTTCAAACCTTGTTTATTGATGTAAGGAAGTTACAAGTGGCAAGGAATGCACAGCTACTGAGCTTGTTTCAGTGTATCTTGTAACATGTTTCATGCCAAGGTTTAACAATTGCTGAAATTCAGAAGTGTTTAGAACAGTGGTTCTCAATAGGGTCAGCATGAACCTTTCAGGAGTCGATAAAATTTTAAAGGGGATGAATCATGATCAAAGTGTCGATTGGGGATCAAAAGCCGAATATGCATCGGCAACAGATATCTAATAATTAAGATTGTATTGACTACAAAAAAAATATAAACGAAGTAAAATGTTTCCTTAGAAGAAGGTTAAAAATATCTAAATACATGTTCACATTTCTTAAAATTATTTAAGTAGAAAAAATTCAAAATACCCCTAATAAAATTTTTTTTTTTCAGAACTTTTGCTCTTATTCTTTGTCTAATTGTTACAAACTCATTTAAGTGAGAATATTTGTGTTATATTTTTTCTATGCTGTATAACTTAAAAAACATTAAGGAGCCGATGAAGCAAATCATTCTTTTGAAAGATGTCGATCCAAACATAAGGTTGGAAATCTCTGATTTAGTAGAACTGCTAAATGGTAACTGTTTTAACTCATTCTATTTATCGTTAATAATTTGATATTTCATAATACCTCAATCTATATTAATATTTTCCGACTTGCACAGAAATTGACAGGAAACCATATAGTTTTTGGCCATTTCAATGGTGACTATGGTTTCATTAAATCCAGAACCTTGCAGGAAAATACAAAAACATCTATCATAGTTTGTTCATCAGTATACTTGCTGCTTCAAGTCACTAGTATAGGACTAATAGATACAGAGCCTGTAAAAGTCTCTAGAGTCTGGGAATTTAAAACTTTTTGTTGATGCAAGTGTTCAGATTCATACATAAATCAATCATTTTCTTTTGATTAGTCTTTTCAGTCACATGCTCCAAACACTTCTTATCAGTTGACTTCTGAATTTTGTAATGAAATTTCTTTTGGATCATCAGAAACTATAAACTCCAGTGACAAATTAGAATTCTCAACATCTAGTTTCCTTGGCATGTTTCTATATGAAAAGAAAAAAATTCCAAATTCCTCAGCGCAATGGAGTAAATTCTTACAAATAGGGAATAAGGGGGATGATTTGCATGATTGGTTGTGGTCAAGGTCTCAAATTAGGATTCGAAGTAAGAAGTTGCCTTGGCTGCTCCTGAGAAGCCAGTTCAATGTACATTAGAAGAGAGATTTCCATTGCTACCAAAAGAAAGAATGAATGAATGATTAGTACAAGACCTAAGATGACCATGAAACCAAAACTAGTTGTACAGTATGATCGAAAAAATTTTTTTGGAAACTGGAAACCCTGAGGAAATGCCGATTGAAACACAGTTCATATAAACCAAAAATGTATTGAACTAAATGTAACGTTTGTCTTGGCATTGTTGCTTTGCTATGAAATGTATCACAGATCTTAAAGTTATGTTCTATAAGTTAAATTTACTTTTTAAATGTGTTTAATGTCTCATAATTTTTACATTGTCTACATTTTAAGAGATGAAGTAAAAAGACAAGTTAATACAAATCTACTTTTTAAAATCTGTTCCAAACGGCAGTGTACTTCTGAATACCACTGTCCTCTTCAGAGACAGACGTTTTCATGTAGTTGGAATCAATATCAATCAAAATTTTTTTTTAGGGGTCTTTTTAGAGACTACAGATATTGTATGAATGATTTTATAAAATTTTGAGGCCAAAAAGTCAAAATATAATGGTTTAAAGTCAGGCTAAACTCATCAAAGAAACACAAAATTACATCATTAGCATCATAAAATGAACTAGAGTCACTTCACAAATCTCTTGGTAGATTTTATTCAACTAAAAATTTCATGAGTGTTACCTTGAACACAATGCGCAACAACCATTTTGTAGTTTAAGGAAAATGTTTCACAATGAAACCTTTACGACTTTCTTAGCATAGTAATTCTTAATAAAAAGAGTAAGTAATATACAAATTTTCTGGCATAAATAAAGAGTCAACAATTAACAAATTGATAAGCAATTATCCACAAAACTTTATCTTAATGAAATAAATTTATTCTGAATGACTGAACACATTTATAAAGAACTATGCATCATAACATTGATTTCACACATACAAAAAAATGAACCAAAACAATTTGAAGATTAGCTGAAAGATTCGTCACATTCACAACACACTTTAAACTGCTGAACTTCATTATAGCTATGCTTTAATGCTGCTATGAACATGGCTCCTAGTGTGTACAGAAATGTTTTGTTTTTTTTTATTTTAAAAATACAGTGCAAAATGTTCCAAATATATTGTTTTATATGTATATTTAAATATAGTACACTAACTTTTTCACACATAAACTAAAATTTAAATTCTTTGTATTTCTTTGCTTGTTTGTTGTCTTGGTGTTGCTGTCTTTGTTTCCTCTTGTTCTTCTGTCGAGCAACATGATCTGCCAACATATCTGACAGATCCTCCTTTTGTAATTGAGATTGTTGCTCACGAATTTGCTGTTCATATCTCACTGCCATAGCATCAGTATCAACCAAGTCTAATTCAGATGGATCTAGGGCCAATTCGACAGTTCCTGAACCACCAACACTGCGACCACCACTTGGAGTAACAGCAGCTGGAGGTGCAGCTGCATTAGTCATATCATAGATATGAGTGGAGCCCATCATTGCGGCCCCAACACGTTCTACACGCTTTTCAGGCAACACCTGATATAACACTGGAGTCTCGTTACCTTCCATTTCACTTTCAATTTTACGTTTTCGAAGTTCAATAATTTCTGGGGTTTCCATACCAGCTGGAATTGAAGTGATGCCAGAAGGTGTTATTAACCCTTCTGCAGGAGTCACTAGTCCTGTTTCATCTTCCTTCTCAGCACCTTCTTCTTCTTCCTCCTCTTCCTCTTCACTTTCTTCTTCGGATTCAGATTCCAATTCTCCCCATGCAGAACGATCAATCTCTTCTTCCTCTTGCACTGACTGATAGTCAACAGTTGATATGCCAAAAACATCACCATAAAGTGGCCGTCCTGTCTCATCAACAGGTGGTTTACCCCATCCACCTGCATGATAACCAAAAGAACAACCTTCTGGTATAGGTGCATTCAAACCAGGAATCTTGAGGTTAGGATAAGAAGGGGGAGGTCCATATCGCTGCATGGCAATCAGCCACGGGGGAGGAACTTTATGTGCACTTGGTCCAACTGGCATGCCTAAGGCAGTTCTAAGCTCATCAGTTAGGTCTCCAGGCTTTTTCTCTTTGAGACGAGTTTCAAATTCTTTCCCTTCATAATACAGATCACCGTGAATTGACATACGAGGTTTAGTTTGCCACTTAAAGAAGGCATCATGTAACTTTTGATAATCAATATCAATCTTTCCCAATTTTGGTCTAGCTCGTTCTCTCATTTTTGCTTTCAATGTTCGTTGGTCTTCTTTCTCTTGCAAAGCAGCCCTCATTTCCATAATGCCAGTTTTCTTTATAAAATCAGGTAAATCAAATGGAGGTTTCTCAATACCTCGCTTTCCCTGTAAATATTTTCTTTTAAAGCACCAATGCCGAGGGACTGGTACAGTGTTACGATGTGCCTTCAACTGAACAAGCAATTTTGGATCACGAGCCGTAACATCATGCATTTCCACAACATCAGGTCGACTCACTAACTGCTTCAATTCTGCAACACTCAATCTAGTCAGTTTCTTCAATTTGCGCTTTGAAAGTTTTGTTTTTTCTTCTTCTTTTTTCCCTTCTTCCTCCTCCTCATCTTCAACTTCAACATCTATTTTGGGAACTTTCTTTAAGTCTAACTCTTTTAAAGGTTCTTTTGGAGTAGCATCCTTTGATCCATCATCTGTTTTCTCTGGTTCTGCAATACGGAATGCCTCAAATATTCTAGCAAATTGACGGTATATGGGATCCAGTTCATTAGCAGTAATTTGTTCCTGAACATACTCTACTTCTACTTCTGGTTCCTTTTCTTCATTCTTAGACTTTTCTTTCTCTTTGTTTTCATTTTCTTTTTGCTTTAATAATTCTTGCTGCCTGGTTTTTGCACGTTTCTTACGTTTCTTCTTACGTTTATTTTTACTCTGTCGCTCTTGTGCGGGTTGGGAAGGCTTTCCATCCTGTTGCTGTTGCAGCTGCTGCTGCTGTTGCTGCTGCTGTGGAAGTGGTTGCTTTTGTTGCTGCTGAGTTTGCTCTTCTTCTTCTTCATCTTCCATATCATAAATATTGTCAAGACCACCTCGACTAATTACTGGTGGAGGAGGCTCAATTAATTCACTCCCTTTTGCTTCAGTAATTTGATCAGGCTGAACACCAATCTGTTTTGCACGTTCGGTTTTAAAGGCAAGAGCCTGTTCTAATGCTTGGGGAAGTTTCACCTCTTTAACTTCTACAGGTGGATCAACTTTAAGTGATAACAATGATGGCAACTTGCGGTCCTGAGTGTCATCTTCAGGATCGACACCTGGTGGACCCAAACCAGGAGGCCCTATAGATTCCATCCCCGGAGGAGGTGGCATTGCCACGGATGGCGGAGGGACGGAGAGCTGAGGTGGAGGTTGCCCTAACATAGGAGCTGGGATGGCTCCAGGTGGCGGAGCAGACATGTCAATCCCAGGGGGTATCATTCCTGGTGCTGGAGATGGCACAGTCACCCCTGGAGGGGGAGGAGGCAGCACCGCAGGTGAAGGTCCTGGAGGAGGGCCACCCATTCTCTGGCGCATCATATCATCTTCTCTTTGCTTTTCTATCAGTGCTTCTTGTTGTAACCGGTATAACTCCTCTTCTTGGCGCCGCTGAATCATTTGACGCTCTTGTTCTTCTCGCTGCTTTTCAACTAGGGCAGTTTGCTGGAGCCTCAGTAATTCCTCTTGCCTCTGCTGTTCTATCATCATTTGTTGTTGTTGAATTCTATGCTGAAGGTTGGGATCGGACATTTCAGCGTTTTCTTGATTTTCTTCCATGGTTTCACCGTGTAAGAGATACAAATGTTCAAAAAATCCGGTATTCACTATATAAATATTTACCGGTCTTTTCACTGTTCATACATGTCTACTTTTCACACTAACAAGTTACATTTACAATAAACAGCACCAAACGCGCTTATTGTGCATCATAACCTGAGAGTATCTATACTCAGCCATGTTCGTTTTATCATGATTGCCAACTCAGCATTGTGTGTATTATTTAACTTTCTGACAATATTATTAATAAAAATACTTTTCTTTAATTATTATTTATGTTAAAATTGTATTAATTAGTTTCTAGGTTATTAGAGATGATACGAAACGAAACATTTCGACATTTCAGTGAAGGCGAATCAGATTTATTTTACAGAGTTGGCTTCGCTAGACCATGACGTCAGGTCGAGAAGACTCCGTTGGACTCCATTTCCTTTTCCGTGAAATTGTGTTGGTGCCTGATCGGAGCGAGGTGGTGGTTGTATTAAATCGGAGGTAATCGGATTTATAATTGAACCACTATTTTTAATTTTGTAATATAATGTAAAATTAAATTATATATAATTTATTGTTGTTCAGTTGAGTGTGAAATGAATTATAAAGTTATAGAACATATGCGTTCCATGATTACGCGCCGTAACCCTAATATTCTAGAGCAAGTTTTTATTCCTAATGGAAATTCGTGTTTTGTAATTGTAAAAAGATCGTATTCAGTTAGAGTATGCGAAAGGGTTTCAATCTTTCGTATTGTTACTTCAGTTATTCCATTTTTCGTTATGCATGTGCAATCAACACATGCTTGTGATTTTGAACTTTTGTATGGAAATATACTTAAATCCTTGGTATTGATAACGTAATTTAATTCCAACCCGTTTCTATAGTTTCACTTTGCATATTTTACTCTATTATACTTATATTAAAGCATATTTTATTTCATTGCAGCCATGGTGCGAATGAACGTATTGAGCGATGCCCTGACGTCCATCAATAACGCAGAAAAACGTGGCAAGAGACAGGTCTTGATTAGACCATGCTCCAAAGTCATAGTTAAATTTCTTACTGTAATGATGAAACATGGTAAGTAAGAATTCTTCTGTAGAACTTTTCATTAATAGATCAGTAGGATCTAGGCTTTAGTTTTTGTTGTCACCTGTTTTGTTGAATTGCATCACATTTGTAAGTAAAATTGTGGGCTTTTTAAGGTGAAAATAATGGGGGGAAATGTTGCTTAAAGGAATGCATTGATTGAGTAAAGATCCCAGTTCCAGAATTCAAAAACTCAAAAATCCATGTTTTAAGTGCTGCTCTTTTTAGTTTAATATTGCTCTGGAAATGTCAAGTTATTTCACTTAAATTTTATGTTTGAGATAATAATACAAAATTAATAACAAATCTCAAATTCTGGTCATGTAGATGACATTTTCAGAGCAATATTAAATTCTAAGGCAATATTTCAAAACTTAGAATTTTGGTATTTGCCCATTGATACAATAGTGCACTAGAATATTGGCCTAGGTAGATCTGAAAATCTTTATTTTAAAATTGATACTTTGATTCTTTTAGGGTTTAAGCAAATCACTTATAAGTTGTTTTCTTTTCTAAGGATACATTGGTGAATTTGAAATTGTTGATGATCATCGTGCTGGGAAAATAGTTGTTAATCTCACTGGTAGGCTGAACAAGTGTGGTGTGATTTCACCAAGATTTGATGTTCCCATTCTTGACATTGAAAAGTGGACAAATAATCTTCTTCCATCTCGTCAATTTGGGTATGTATGTTTTTGTGTGGATTAATATTTGCACAGTACCTCCAAGGTTACATTAATTGGCACCTAGTAATGTGAAAATAAAGAGCTTATTACGCTTCAGTATTTATGGAGTAATATTCACATAAGGAAGGTTATGTAGTGCTGCAGAAATTATTTTGAAGAAACCAGTCTGATTGAAGTCAAAACTTTGAGAGCAAGAAAAGCATGCTTTAATATTTGGGGGTACTTTACAATAAGCCCCTGGACATTTTCAAAATTTATTCTAAAATGGCTCCAAATTTTTTCTTGCAATTACTGTTAAGAATAGAATTAAATACTTACAATATAT